GACAGGAGGGAAAGTGGAAGCCAGGAGTCTGCTCTGGCCACTCCATGGTGCAATCTCTGGTCCCTCTCCAGGTCACAGCTCCCACAGAAGTATTACTGGTGGTTCTTCCAGACAATTCCAGGTGAGACCACCCGGCAGGCAGACCACAGGACAAGCAGGCCTCTGCCCAGCCCAGATGGAGCCCCGTGGGGCTGCCCTGATCCCCCCCAACCCATCCTCTCACAGGGATGACTGGAGTGCTGCTGCTCGTGATCCTGGCCGTGATGTACGTCTTTGCCACCCACCACTTCCGACGTGTCAGTTTCCAGGGCTTCTGGATCACCCACCACCTCTATGTGCTCCTCTACGTCCTGGTAAAGCATTTGAGCTGGGAGGGAGGGGTGGTGCCAACGCACCACAAGCCCGTGGGTCAGCCCACAATGAGGTGAAATAGATGGGGAGGTCCAAAAGACCCCAGTCCCAGCTCCCCACCACTGCTGTGCTGCACCCAAATGAGCCACTGGGCAGCAAATTGCAGTGCTGAGTGCTAATGGGGGCTGCTCCCTGCCCAGGTCATCATCCACGGCAGCTACGCGCTGATCCAGCAGCCCCGCTTCCACGTCTACTTCATCATTCCGGCTCTCATCTACAGTGCGGACAAGCTGCTCAGCCTGAGCAGGAAGAAGGTGGAGATCGGTGTGGTGAAAGCTGAGCTCCTGCCCTCAGGTACCACATTCTCCCTGGCTCAGCCCAGTCTCTTCACAAGAGCCTTGGGGGCTGCAGCGATGGAGGACCCTCCACCAGTCAATGTCTCCACCTCAACAAAGTCCCCATCCTGTCTGTCCCCTCTGCAGGTGTCACCCACCTCCGGTTCCAGCGTCCACAGGACTTTGACTACAAGTCCGGGCAGTGGGTGCGCATCGCCTGTGTGGCCCTGGGCACCACCGAGTACCACCCCTTCACCCTGACCTCCGCACCACACGAGGAGACGCTGACCCTGCACATACGAGCTGTGGGGCCCTGGACCACTCGCCTGAGGGAGCTCTACTCCCCAGAGAGCCTGGCCCTCATTGGCAAGCTGCCCAAGGTGAGCTCCACGCTGCTTCTCCAGGGACATCCAAGCCTGAGAGCACCTCAGCAATGGGTTGTGCCCAGCCCAGGGTGCTTCTCCGCCTTGAAGGTGGCCAAGACCTGGGCAAGCAGAGGCAGGAGATGCTCTGCTGATGGCTGGCTCCCTTCCAGCTCTATCTGGATGGGCCCTTTGGTGAGGGACACCAGGAGTGGAATAAGTTCGAGGTATCAGTGCTGGTGGGAGGAGGCATTGGCGTGACGCCCTTCGCATCCATCCTCAAGGACCTGGTCTTCAAGTCATCCATAAGCTCCAAGCTGCTGTGTAAGAAGGTAAGAGGAAGCATCTGGAAGACAAGGGCCCTTCTGAGATGCGTCCCGCTGCTGCTGGCTTCTTCGAGGCTAAAATCCTCCACGATCCATCCGGGAAGAAGCCCCATGGATATGCATACAGGTGCTGGCCCCACTCTGAGTCTCATACTCATGTGTCACAGATCTACTTCATCTGGGTGACACGCACGCAGCGGCAGTTTGAGTGGCTGGCAGACATCATCCGCGAGGTGGAGGAGGCGGACAGGAACGACTTGGTCTCCGTGCACATCTACATCACGCAGCTGGCCGAGAAGTTTGACCTGCGCACCACCATGCTGGTGAGCCTGGCCACCCCGCGGGGAGGCTGCCGTGCCGTGCCGTGCCGCGCCGGGCCGTGCCAGGCCATCTGACATGTGCCAATCTCTCTTTCAGTACATCTGCGAGCGGCACTTCCAGAAGGTGCTGAACAAGAGCCTGTTCACAGGGCTGCGCTCCATCACCCATTTCGGGCGGCCTCCCTTCGTACCCTTCTTTAACTCACTGCAGGAGGTACACCCCGAGGTCAGTGCTTGGCCGGGGACAGGAGGAGGGCACCCATCGGCCAGGGGCGAGGGCTGGTCCCAGCCTGTCCCTCAGGCCCTGGAGACCTTGGTGGCATCCACATCAAGGGCAGGGGAGAAGGGGCATGAAGCCCACTTTCCCTCTAGAGCCAGGATGAGCTGCAAGAGCCACCAATGTCTCGTAGCAGCCAAACACCCCCCGCTATAGCGAGACCCCAGCTGCAGCCACTGCCTGGAGCTGGCAGAGACCCTGGGGGTTCCCATCCTTCCTCCATGGCTCCAGCAGCACCATGGGGAAGGGACAACTTCCCCAAAAGCCTCCTCAGGCTGGGACAGGCTGTTTGGTCAGCATCCATGGCCAAAGCTGCCAGAGGGCAAGGGGCCAAGGGGGGCTGGGCTGGGGGGAGAGCTGGTGCTGCTGGGTTTGACCCCTGTGGCTCCCTCCTTCCCCAGGTGCAGAAGATTGGGGTGTTCAGCTGTGGCCCACCTGGGATGACAAAGAGCGTGGAAAAGGCTTGTCGGCAGCTGAACAAGAAGGACCAGACCTTCTTTGCACATCACTATGAGAATTTCTGACCCTACACCATGCCGTTTCACCCCTGGGCTGCAGTCTTCATTGGAAATGTGTGTTCAACCCCAGCACCTGTGTGGTGATGCTTTGGGTGGTCCTAGGCTCCCACCCACCACCATCCCCAGGAGAAAGCCATCCATGGCCAAGAGCATGGATGCTGAGACCCACAGAGCTGTGACCAGCACCCAGTACATCAGTAAAGCACTGACATCCCAGCATTGCCCCGCACAGCCCCAGTGTGATGCCCTGAGCCCGGGGCATCCTGCACCCACACACTCCTGCAGCCTGGGTTGGGCTGGCATGTCCCCATCCAGAAAATCCAGTGTTGGAGTCAAGTGCGGCTCTGCCACCTTCATCCCTCAAGCCAGAGTTCATACTCTGCTGGGTGGCTCGGGGAATGTCTATGAGCAGCTCTGGGGAACAGTTTGGTGCCTGCACAACCTGAATCCGCGGCACTTTGCCCCAAAACCAGGATGATACACATGGGCTGAGGAGCTGGAGAGCTCCCCACCATCCCTCTCCTTAAAACAGGTTCACCTTTCCTAACACACTCATTTGTGCCTGCTTGTTAGCACTCCGAGCCTTCCCTGGGTTTGCATAGGGCCTTAGTTGTGTTTGCATTGGCTTCTTTCAGCAGTGTCACCATTCTTTGATCAGGGATCATCTGTGCTTGTTTAACTAATGCCTGGCTTTGCATCACTGGGCTGCTGCTCTTGCAGGCTGAGATTGAGCTGAAATAAAGCTGGTCAAAGTTTTAAAACATTTTCTTGACTCCTGCAGTTAGGCCTGGGTCACCTGGAGACTTGCAGTACTTTGGGCATAGCACTGGCCTTGATCCTGTTACAGAGTATTTATGCCAGCCCACTGGGAAATGCGTTCAACAGGAGTGAGTTTCCTCTGCACTGCTGATGTACATGGGGTGGAGGAGGGATACAGATTTGAACCCAGGCACAGCCCCACAGACTGTGTCTCAGCACCCCCAGTAGTGCCCCAACAGTGGCAATTCCCCCCAGCAAGACCCAACGTGGGAGTAAACTACACCCCAGGAGCCCAGAGAGGCTGTGCCTCAGGAACAGTTTCAGCCCTCGGGGTGTTAAACAGCCTCCCCAGGAGCAGAGGCAGTAGCTCTACATCTCAGTGTAGTAACAGGGTCTTCTGATGACCAGCCCCCCCCCAGCCATGCTAATGCCCCCCAAGATTAACTCGGCCACCTCTGCAATAAAGACAAGCTTTGACTTGCAAGCGGCCAGGTCATTTAAGGTTTCATGGTCCTGTCAGCATTGAGCTTCCCTGCAACCCAGTGAGACCCAGCAAGAGCCCTGCACAGTCCCCAAGGCCCAAAGTCAGGAGACCCCTTCAGAACCCAACACTTCAGTGGACTCAGATGCAACAAGTGGGTATCATTTATTGAGGAAAGTTCAGTACCGGCCCAAGAAAGGGACTGATCTCCCAGTATTAAAATTAACATGACTGCAATTAAAGATTAGATTTTGTTATCTGCAACCTGCTACCTCACTAGTACCTCGTTCATGGCTCACAAACTCAGCATTTCCTGAAATCCCTGACAAAATACAACTTGTTCGCAGTGGTAAAGCCTTTAAGTGATGCTGTCCACTTACTTCTCACCTGCTCTTCCCTCCATGCTCAAAGCAAGCTGTGTCCCTCAAAAGCAGCCCTGTGGGAGCCACGTACAGCTGCGGTCACTGCAGCCAGCTCTGCACCGGTCCTTTCTGCCCCACAGGGAGCTGCAGCACAGCAGCTGTGGTCCCAGGTGGCCTCCAGATCACCTTCTGCAAAAGAGCCCTGGCTCCTGGCCTGTGGGCTCAGAGTTTGCTATTTGCAAAGAGCATGGAGAGAATGACCTGACTGTGCAGATCTTCCCTCAGGGGCGGGCTGGCCAGGCTTTGTGCCACAAGCTGTGACAAGTCCCAGCATTCCTGAGGGAAGATGCGACTGGAAGGCAGAATGTTCACGTCGAGCTATCCTGCAGCCAGGGACTGCTATGCTGAAGAGCTGCGGCAAGCACAGCCCCAGGGCAGCGCTGAGGCAGGAAGGTGGAGCGCCAGCATTTCCGTCCTTGCTGCACCCACGCAGCTGGTGACGCCCTCCCACAGCGTCCCACTCGGACAAACCCTGTGGCCATACAGGAGGCTCTGCCTAACACTCGCAGAGACATCAGGGTCCTCTGTGTGTGGGGTCTGCGGGAGAAGAGCCAACTGTGCGAACTATCATCTCTAACCAAACAGCAACACTTCCCCGTTGGTTCTCTATTTGTAGTTACTTGTTAATACCTGGGGTTAGACTAGATGATCTTTCGAGGTCTCTTCCAACTCCTAATATTCTGTGACTCTTAACAGTGGATCCCTCAGTGCCATCCACTCTCATTATAATTTGATTTTCTAGCTCTATTACAAAGCAGTGCCTGCATAAGGTGACTGTGTAAACGTGCAACAGCCATACATCAGCCTCCTGCAGCCTCATGCTTCGCATCTCAGGAAGGCACTGTAATGGGGGAGAGGGCCGGGCACTGTGGCATCTCAGGGGTTGTGGTCAGTGGGGTCACACTTCAGCATGACTTTGATCCCCTCGCCCTTCTTGACGGTCTCGAACGCCTCGAGAGCTTTTTCCAAGGGGAAGCGGTGCGTAACCAAGGGCTTGACGTTGATCTGCTTGGATGCAAGCAGAGAAATTGCCACAGGCCACCTGCAAGGGAAACAGAGAGCAGGAGATGAAAGCAGCCACCAGCTTGGAGCCCGAGGGAAGGGGCACAGAGGAGCTTGGTTTCATTACAGTAATTTCCTCAGCCAAAGGGAGTTTTTTCCCCCAAACAATCTTCCAGAGGGAGGCATGAGACATGGGCCAAGCCAAGTGCTTTGGGCTGTCAAGCATCAGGACGGCAGGCACTGCTATATACAGACAGTGGTGCTTCACCTGCAAGAGGCTTGAGTAAGTGAAAAATAACAGGAAACAACTGTAATTCTGAAGCATCGAATGAAAAACAAAACTCTGCTTTCTTCTTGCCTGGCCTCCTTGCTTGCAGACTGGTCACTGTGGAGTTCAAACTCAGTGACTCAGTGCAGGGAGAAGAAAAGAAAGGCCTCAGTCAGCTTCCAGCCTCTTCTCTGGCAGAGACTCATGCGATTTGATTGCCTTGCCACTCCATTTGTATGGGCCCAATGAGAGTGGTGTGGATACTGAAAGATATAGCAGCTAATCTAATTCCTAAACAGCCTACTTAAAGACATTTCTCATTTTAAGGAGCTTGACTACACCTCATAAATCCTTCTTGTAATACAACCTCTACAGACTAAGCAAAGAAATCAAGAAACCCATCAAAATAATCAGGAATTCAGTTGGCAGTGCTTTCAGCTAAGAGGTATTTTACAGTATGCAAATGAAAGCACCATGACCTGGCCTTTCAAAAACTGAGATACCCCCAGGCAGTGGACTTGTCAGTGTCAGGTTTATGGTTGGACTCTTAAAGGTCTTAAAGGATGATCTTAAAGGTCTTTCCCAATCTAAATGATTCTATGAAACTGCCGCTCTGAACAGAGCAGAAACCAGGCTGCAAGTGTGCAATGCTGGCTCTCAAACCCTGCCCAAGGAGAATGAGACCAAAGAGAGGACAGCTGAGCTTCTCCTGCCTCCAGTGCAAGGCCAGCTTTCAGTACACCCAAAGAACTGCCTGTCCACGAGCCGTGCAGTTCAGTTCTCCATGGAAAGAACATACTCCTTCAACATGGCTCCAAATACATCTTCAGCTCCAGTAAAATGAAAAAACTAAACAAGAGTCTTGCTCATCCAAGCATTTGCTGATCTCCAGGAAGACTGATGATGTGATTTTCTTCCATGATGAGCATGGAGAGCAGAGCTGGGCACCACCAGCAAAGCTGGGTATGCACAGCTTGACACAGGATGTGGCGCTTGGGATTTTCACTCTTTGCCCAGAATTCAGATTCCCCACATCACTTGCCTCAAAACTGACAATAGAACTGGGGGAGTACAGTGCCAGGCCAAGCTGCTGCTAGGAGACCTCCCAGCACAAGGCGTTGAAGCAGCTAAAAGCTGTGTGTTTCTCCCTGCCATGCCATGAGGCAGGACACTTGTGGACAAGCCAGTCTCTTCCCAGCACATGGCCTTCCTTTCCTACAGGGCATAAGAGTTGAAGGCACAAATGCTAATTTTTTTTTTCCATTTTAGCCTGCTGGCTTGCAGCAGAGTAAAGGTTTGTTGGGTCTCTTCCTTTCTTTGCACCAAATACTCTGTGAAATGGGACAGTAGGACAAACCAGCTGGGCTGCTTTGTTGTTGTCAAGTTAGCAGTGCAGGGCTGACCCAGGGACCAAGGCAACCATAAAATGCAGGCCACATCAGTCAGACCGTCTGTGTTGCAGTGCTGTTATTTCAGAGTGACATGAGATTTAACCAATTGTAAGGAAAATCAACCTTTTCCATGTCCTCCCTCCTTGTGGAAAACCCTCAATTCAAGAAGGACAGGAACTGCTGGAGAGAGTCCAGCGTAGGTCTACAATGATGATGGAGGGAGTGGAGCATCTCCTGATGAGGAGCGGCTGAGGGAGCTGGGTCTCTTTAGTTTGCAGAAGAAGAGACTGAGGGGAGACCTCATTCATGTTTATAAATATTTAAAGGGTGAGTGTCACAAGGATGGAGCCAGGCTCTTCTCGGTGACAAACAATGATAGGACAAGGGGTAACGGACACAAACTGGAACACAGGAGGTTCCACTTCAATTTGAGAAGAAACTTCTTCTCAGTGAGGGTAACAGAGCACTGGACCAGGCTGCCCAGAGAGGTTGTGGAGTCTCCTTCTCTGGAGACATTCAAAACCCGCCTGGACGCCTTCCTGTGTAACCTCATCTGGGTGTTCCTGCTCTGGCAGGGGGATTGGACTGGATGAGCTTTTGAGGTCCCTTCCAATCCCTGACGTTCTGTGATTCTGTGATTTCTTAACGACAGACTTGGAGACACATCAGCCCATCCAGCACGAGACTCACGTGTTACAGTAGCGGAATATCCCCCGGATATCCACCTCCCGCACAGCGGCGTTCACAATGGGCACGGCGACCATCTCAGGCCCCAGCCCCACCAGCACCAAGGTCCCACCAGAACGAGTGGCCTGGAAAACAAACATAAACATATTATATCTTGCAAAAAAACAGTCACCAAAGCCTAAGCAGAAGTCTGTAAAAAAGTAAAGCCACACGTTGTGACTGTAATGGACTGTCCAGGACCACAGCAAAGATGCCAATGGAGAGGCAGGATGCTGCCAGGAGCCCATAAGCACAAAACATGCAATAAACAAGGCCGAAAAAGCAACCTTTTCAAAATCCCTGAAGGATTTTTATAGCTAAATCTCATTCTCAGAAATGACTGGCACTTAGAACTATGAAAAATACTTTGGGATTTCAGTGGGAGAGATTTAAAACCAAGAGCCTGATGGTCAGCTGGAATTTCTCTTTTGACAGCTTGCCCAATTTTTCTCCTATTCTGTCACTGTGAAACTCTGCACTACCTTCTCCACACCCTCACGTTAGGCAGTTCAGGACAGCAAAATATCCCCTCCTTAACTGCTTTCTTCACCTGCTGGTATTAATTTTCTTAATCACTTCTCTTATTTGGACAAAACTTCAACTTAATGGAAGATGCTGCCCTACTTGTACCAGCTGCCTGACACGGCTGCATAGCCACGCTTGGGTTTTGGGGTCTTACTGTAGACTCTTTGGTAAGTGGTAAAGCACTTGAGCATCAAATCAGACCATTATCTGCACGCTACCTGCAAAGACGTTAACTCTTTTATTGTCTCTCTTCATATGCTGTTTAACGAGCACCTTCTCTCCCCAGCACCAAGCCCACCGAAATGAAACACCATAGGAGTGAAATAACTGCCATTCACTGCTGTGTCCCAGAAAGAAGAAAGCCAATGCCATCATTGCTCTGCCCTGGGAACAAGCGGTACTCACGTAAATGCCAGCCTGGATGCACGCTTGCACTCCTGTACACTCCACAGTTATCTCGGGCATGCAGCCAAGCAGACTTTCCACTTTGGAGGCCACCTCCTGTGGGGTCTCGTTCTTTACCTGAATGGTGAAATCTGCTCCCACCTCCTTGGCTTTTTGCAGGCGAGAGGCAGATAAGTCTGGGGAAAGACAAAAGAAGCCAAGAACTGGAGCATTATAGGAAGCAGAAGGGGAGCAAGAACCTGAGCCTGCAACCTGCTTCCTACCCCCATCTAAAGTCTCAAATGAGCCACCTTCTTTGGTGACCAGCTATCAACTGTCTCAGGAAAGAAGAGAGTATTTGTTACATAGTAGGAGAATTTGGAAAGCTCCAGCCCAATAGTACCTTCTCAAGAATTTATGTAGACCGCTCAGATCAAAGGTTTCCCACCCCTGATATGAGTAGGCCACCATCAAGGAACCCTGATGGAAGCACACTTGTCTGGGGTTTGTGTTCACAGGGCAGCACACAACCAGGGGAGGAAAGGGTCTACACTCCCTCAAATTCACGCAGCCTGAAGTGGGGAGGCTGGGAGACCTGCTCGTTTTTCCAGGCAGGGAGAGAAGAACAAGCAACAAAAACAACTTAAAGACTCAGGAGATGCCAAAGGCTTGAGGGTGTGCTTCAATGAGTATAAAAGCACAAAGTATAAAATCACAGACAAAATCCACACCATGCAAAGCAACAACCAAGTGAAGGAACAGCTGTCATGGCTAGACAAGAGGGGTGTATTCTATAAGAACGTCAGTTCATAGATCTCCCAATTTCTCTTTGGTACTGGAGGAACATCAAGAGTGTGGCAAGACAAACTAGAAGACCAGGCTTAACTCCAAAGGGCATGCACACCGATGCAGGAACTGCAGCAGGAACAGCTATGGCCAAGCACCAATGTGCTGCTGTCCCAAAGTCACCGCAGAGCAGAGGAACCTCAGTGCAGGCAAAGGCAAAAGGCAGCAGGGGACAGGACAGCCAGGGCAGAGCTGACCTACACTGGCCCTGTTTGAACACTGCCGCTGTGTCCTACCAACACTGCCACTGTCTAACCCCTGCACTGCCCAGTGCCTCGCTGGCCATGACTCTTTCATGAAGCAGCTTCACTAATTCATGTGAGACCTTAATCCACTAGTGAAAAAGGATTATAAAAACCCGTGTTATATACACTCTCAGTGAGTTAACCTAGGGAGGAGCCTACAATGAGGCAAAAAACCCCACCTTTCTCTTTCGCATTTTCCTCCCTTGGCTCTCAAGATGATTTGCCCTTGCTCACACCCTCATGCATACCTCTCGAAGGGCACTAGGCAGAGGCAAGCCCTGATGGCTCAGAAATACCTGGCTATGGACAGCAAAGCACCAGAGGAGCCTTTCTGACAGGAGACATTAATGGTTGGACTAGATGATCTTAAAGGTCTTTTCCAATCATAACAATCCTATGATTTGATGACACGGGGCTCAGAGGATCATTAAAGTGGCCAATTCACTTCTAAGGTACCAGAAGGCGGCAGAGAATGAGCTCTCTGGGGACTTCCTCAACAAACCATCAGCAGACACTTTCAGCTGAGAAAACTGCAGATATGCATTAGCTGGCAACGCTAAGTGCGTCCCCGCTGTTACAGACCTTTCCCACCCTTTTACCCTCCTTGTACCAGCACTGGAGGCTGCTGAGCACCTCTCAAGGCAGTTTCTGCCACAGATGTATTAGCACACAAGCATGTAAGAAAAAGGAAGTGGATCTGGTAATATGGTGGACCTCAGACACCCCATTAACACAGAGCAACAAAGCTGGTGACGATAAATATCTGAGGGCAAGGCTGTACTCTGGTACCTCTTGACAGCACTAGAAATATCTTTTGAAGATCCATAAAATGGTTTGTACCATGGAGCGAGCTGCCCTGGTAAGCGGCTACACTGTCTCTTCAATGTCGCCTGGAAGGAAGCCACCCACCCCTCTCCAGGCACCACTGGTGACCAGGACATCTCTGGAGATGAGGAGGTGGCCATTTCCCAGGCAGAAACAGACTTTTTGCCTTGCACTGAAGCAGTGGTCTACAGGGACCTGTGTGCTGGCACTGGAAAAGATGTCCAGACTGAAGGAGGACGTAACAGCCAAAATTTCCTAGACCCAAGATTGAGGGGTGGGCAAGAAGACTCGGAAAATCATGCCTTTGCCAGGAGCACACTTGTCTCCAGGACACACATCAAACTCATCACAAGGAAGAAAACACCGCTCACACCAGGACACAGTCTTCAGAGAAGTCAAAGATGGGGGTAGGGGAGAAACATCAAGAGAAATGAGGAGGAGGACAAGGCCACTGCTGTGACATGAGCCACTCTGACTCAGTCACAGCGCCGGGAGGAAGCCAGGCCTGCGCTGCCCATCATGCAGCAAACGTGACGTTACTTACTGCCAGGGCAGGCAAGGGACATGCCCCCAGCAGCAGCTGGAGGGCTTGGGATGCCAGGAGCAGGCACACTCAGCAAGGTGAGCACCCAGGAGACCTGTGGAAGGAGTTTCAAAAAGCAAGAACAAAGAGTAATAAACTGCAAATGAAGGAGGAAAAGCCAAGGCTGAAAAGTGAAGGCATCATCACCCAGGAAGCCTCAATGTGGACATGGGTGTCATTCCTGTGGCTGCAGGAGGCGTGAGTCACATCTGTCCCTCCCAAGCTCTGAGTGTTGGGCCTTTGCCATGTCATGCTTGACCCTCTGCTCACAGAGCTGCACTCGGAGAACTCCCAGGCAGCAAGAGCTGCTGTTTTTGAGATACCTGAAGAGTTACGAAGCACTTGTGCCTGGCACAGCTGGTGTCTTCCAAATCTCAGTGTACAGCAAGGAGACTATGAGGGCTCCACAGTGCTCCCAGCAATGGAGCAAACTCCCCATGAAATACCCTGCCCAAAACACCAGTGTGCAGCAGACACAGCTGGATTCAGCTGTTTGTAGTATCTGCCCGCTCACTAATACATTTTATATTGTCTCCTTGGCAGAAATACATTCAGAGGCAGTGTCCTGGAGCCACAGGAGAGGCAAGTTGTCCTGTCCTGACAGCAAATGCATTTCAAAGTGGCCATAAAATTCGCTCTCAGGCAGCAAAACACCACATCTCTCCTACACTTGGCCTCTGGTTTGCTGACCTGCTTGGGAAAAAGTCTTCGCGTTGGAGAAGCATAGAAGACACAGCAGCAATACTGTCAGACCCAGAAGGACTGTGATAACATCTTGGTACGCCTGGCCTAAGTGAATCACCACTAAGCACCTACTGAAGATGACAGATCTGCAGGTTATCAAATGAGGAGGTTTAGAGCTTCGGACACTTGCGAGTCTTGGGAACAACCAAGCTGTTTGGATTTTAAACCCTACTTTTGCTGAACCCCACACAATTCTTGGGTAACTGCATAATTACACAATTAAAAGGTTGCATCTTCCCTCTAGTCAGAGATTTGTTTTCACTTCCTGGCTGCTGGAGCTAATTTAAGTTTTGGCTGCCAGACTCAGAGTAGCCCGTTCTTGTATCTCTGCTCTCACGCAAGTTATCAAATTACATTTAAGCTTCTTGTGATAGTTTATGAGCCAACTAAAGAAATATTCTTGAAGCTCTCACACTTCCTATGTTGAGCTTCTTTCCCACAGGAGTTGAACTCTGTCCAGTTATTCATCATCCCTGACCTTGACTTCCAGGGTTTCTGGAGGCACCAGCACTCAGGGCTTCAGATTTAGATAGCACAAGGGGAATAGTTTCCCTTAAGTAGGAATTATTAAGTGTACCTTTAGAGACAGAGTAAGGCAAGACAGCCCAACACTGCCATAGGAATATCCAAACTGTCACTTCACTTGCTGGGGAATAAGGCTGCTCTTTTACACGCCTCTAAGGAGAAAAGCAGCTTTTCAGAGCAACAGCAATGTCCACAGCAAGGATTGGCGAAGGCTGCCCATAAATACCAATCACATCCACTCAGCAGCACAGTGGAGAAAGCCATAGACCATAGCGAAGAGTAGATGAGGAGCCATGAAACAAACCAATCTGCTGCACCCAACTGCAGTCCAATGAATACATCACTGCCCCCTCAAAAGAGACAACACTAGTCTGCCAGGAATAAAGCACTCCAGGGAGAAGAGCAAAGGTTACCAGAAGCACTAATACTCTTAATCAGGCAAGTTGCCATAGACAGGAGGAAAGGCAAGCTTTGGCACACACAGGCTTTTGGAAGGGCAGGGCTGAGCAGTAGTCTCCAGCTACAGTGCCAGCCGCTCTCTGGGAGTCTCAGAGAAGGGAGCCAACTCCTTGGCAGAGACCTAACTTTCCAAAATTCATGGACTCCAGGTGTTCCAAAGACATCCACCACGCAAGCTGTAGGAGGTGAGTTCTCCTCAGGTCCGGAAAAAGCTCTTCTAGATATTTCTGTATCTGTGCGCAGCTTGTCAAAACAAACACAAACAATTAAAGCCTTAAGCGCTTCACAGACAAAGCTCTTCACAAACACCTCATAAAAACTCTGGGCAACAAATTCAAAGAATCTGGTACCAAAATACAAGAGGGCCTTTGTGGGCAGTCACAGGTGTTGGCTTCTAAACCCGGCACAAAAAGCAGTTCCTTGAAAAGGGCAGAAAAATCCCCAGCGGCCATGAGCCAAACTAAACCCATTCCTCAGCTCATGTCACATACAAATATTTGACTAGGGACAGCACCTCCGTGGGTGTCTCTGAGCATCTCAGCCCAAGACCCCTTAGACGGGAGATGTCTACAGGTCACGATGATTACCTAGGCCAAGGTGTAATAAGAAGGGGTTAATTCCATGTAGCTGAGCTTGCTGACCCTACACACCAGGTATTAAGAACTTCCTACAGCCACCCGGAGCCCTGGTACACGCTATACAGATCCGCTTGCCAAAGGTCCCCAGAGCAGTCCACAGGCAGAGGCAACAGCAACTCCCAGTGCTACAGGAAGAATACACCTGAGCAGGACCAGAGACAGGGCAGCAGAGTGACCCAGCAGCCTCAGCCCCACCAACCCCTGCCAGCTCCCCAAACCCTTCCCTACCCACGCACCAGGTCACCCACCAGCCCCTGCGTCGGCTCAGCTTGGCAGCAAGGTTCTTCATACGTGACTCAAGAGGCAGAGTTGCTTTTCCTGTTATAGCAACCATCATCCTCAACTGACACTTTTCAAAATCTAAGGTTTGGACTGATCATCTCCACCAAGCACACGCCTGCAGGGTGGGGCCAGCAGAGTAAAAAAATGCCCTGGATTCGGCAACAAGAGGATTTAGGGAGGAGAAGGCAATAATCTGCCTTAGGTTTTGACATGATCTACTACTGAAGGATGCCTCTGCAAAGGCAAGAGGGTGGGACCTCAACCCAAAGACAAAAACAGAGTAATAGAGCTCAAAAATAAACCTGGCCCAAAGTGTGAGAGGTGGAGTAACAGCCTTCTGAAAGGTCCATCCTGGGGCTTTGGCCCAAAAATGCTGCAGCAATCTGTGCACTATGGATAATCAGTGGAAAATGAATCCCCCAGCAGGACAGCAGAAAGAAGGGCAGCAAAAGAGAACTACAGAGGGTCAGTGTGGCTGGACACAGAAAGGACTGTGAAAACATGTGTCCAGGCCATCACTAAGCACTACAAGAGGAAGGAAAAAAAACAACCTGCTCAGAGCAAACCTCCAAGAATACACCCCAAACAGGGTATAAGAGATGCTGCGCTGCCTGGTCTGCATGCCTATGTGAAGACTAGAAGCAGATATAATCAGGGTCTATAAGCACTACAGGGGAGATGAAACCTGATCCTCGAGGCTTGATCTATGAGCCAAAGCCAAAACACAAAGTTGAGGTCAGAAGAGATTGAAACAGGAAAAAAACTCGAACAGTCAGTGATCAGAGGCAAGAGGAGCAAGCAGAGCTTCTGTAACTCAGAGCTTTGTCATACAGATGCACTGATTTTTCCCAAAAGACCTGCTCAAAGTCTGAAAAAGGTCTCTAGGCTTGATCCAAGGACCACTCATTAGCCTCTGGTTTATTCTCCTTGAAGCACTATAGCTATTTCACCCGCACAACCTGTCTGTGCTAGGAAGCAGAAGTTACTACCCTGGTCCACTAACCTAGCCAAGAAGCACCAGTTGCAACCTGCACCTTCTTACAGATCCCAATCAGTGCAAAGATCAAAGTCCTGTCCTGGGGAATGAGGCGTTTATTAGGATTCCCTCCAGACAGGCATGCTACTCCTCCATTCATGAACAGACTTTCCATTGTGCTGTTACTTTGAAGGAATAACGTGGAACCAGTTAAAGTGTTGTACTGTGAGAAACAGGCACACTCCTAAGGGTTAAAAGGACTTACCTGTAATTACCACAGCTGCTGCACCCATCATCTTAGCAACAAGCACATTAACAAGGCCGATTGGTCCTGGGTACAAAGGGGAGAAAGATAACACATATAACTTTCAGACAGCACCAGTCACAGGCTCTGAATGTGCCCAGAGCTCAGCACGTTCCTAGGCTAAAGCAGGCTTCGACTGTGTTTCCAGGTGGGCAGTGCTGCAATCACAGCACCACCACGATCCCAAGGCAGTGAGATCAGCTGCTGAGAGAGCAGCTACTGCTACATAAGGCACTCCACAAGGAAAACTTGCTCCTCTGCCCACTCGCTCCTCTGCCCACTCGAGCTGGTAGGCTCAGCATGTCCAGACACTGTGCCTTGCATCTGGGCTGCTCACAATGCAGCACTGCAGTGCAGCATGGAAAAGGACAGCTTCTAGATCCCCCTTGGCATCCCCGTAGCTCTGCCATGACCCATGCTTACAGCAGAGCCCAGAAGCACAGCTTGCACCTTGTCCATCCCCCTCCACACTCCAGCAGGCAGAGAACCCAAGGACTGAATATGTTCACCATACCAGAGCCAGACACGAAGACTTTGCTTCCCAGGGTGACTCCTGCCCTTTTGCAGGCATGGATTCCCACTGAAAGGGGCTCAATAAGGGCTCCTTCTTCAAAGGTGACATTATCTGGAAGCCTGCAAGAACCAGACACAATCGACAGTCACCAAAGAGGTTTATGAGGATGATGATGAAAGCCATGACACTCAAAGAACAAACATAGGTCTAAATCACAGTGGCAAAACACTCTCATCCTTGGTCTGAGAAATGCAAGGCTGGAAGGTGTTTCAAGGGGAATCAAGCAGTATCAAGTACACCTAAACCATCCACAGACTGCCCCACACCATCTCTCCAGTACTTGGTGAGGCAACCCTGAAACTCCTTTGTTGCTCATTCCCTTTCGAACAAACCCCACAGTTGCATATGCACCACCTCAAAGGCTGCCCTACAGCTGGGACCATCAGTGAGCTCCCAGACCCCTCAACTGGGTTGAATCATTCAGCTCCACGCTTTTAGAAAACACCTTGCTGCCAATGGTGATGCCATATAAAGCAAAGGCAGTCAGATCCAGGTCTCCCCATCACGCCCTGGATGTCCTCCCCTGATGCACCAAATGCCTCAACCAGTGGAGTGGTCCCAGCACACACCCTCCCAGCAGTCAATCTGTGCACTGGGTATCGAATGCCTTTAGGACAGAAACAGCACTGTAATGCAGCTAGTGTAAGTGGTGGAAAAAAGCAGAGAGGGGTGAAACCCTTCTAAACTGCTGACAGAAATAAATTCCAGCCCCACAGCACAGCCCCCCAGAAAGCCACCAGGGTGGGCTCTCACACAGTGGGTGCCGGGTGCTCTGTCTGCAAGGAAAGTCTTTCTGACAGCCTGTCGTGGCTCAGGGGCTCAAACCAAGACACAGCCTCGGGAAGCTTGAGGTCAGATCTCCGGCAGGCCAACACAAAGACAAAGCAACAGAAATGACCGTTGTGGGGAGGCAGCTGTATGATGTCTACATGTCCCTTATCTCCAGGAGGCTGCCTCCAAAAGTTCAGTTGTCTGAGAGTTTGGCATCACATTTGCTGCTACTTGGTCTGGGTACTGCCCCATCAATGCAAAGGGCATGATCTCACCTCCAACAAATTACACGGAGTACCCAAGACAGAGCCTCTCCGCCTGCAGAAGGACAGACAACACCTGCTCAAACATGGGAGAACCCACTGGGGCCAACCATCATCTTTTCTTGGCAAATCTGTGCTGGCAGAGTGACTTCATGCCAGGGAATCTGCTCTGCATCAGATGGCCACGGAATTGCTGATTTGAACCTGGGAGCACCAGATCCAGGCTTTGCATTTCACAGCTTAAGAAAATAAAATTTAGCCAAAGTAGTATTTACTCAAATTGGGGGAAAAAAATATCTCCTCCTGCAAGAAAGACAGGTACAAACCAGTTGCTTCCTCCCAAGTAAAAACTTGTGATGTTGTCAGAAAATGTTATTTTAACAACACAGAGGACACCAGTGACAGTGGGTCTGAGCAGGGAGCAGTCAGTCCCATCTAGATCATCATCTCATCCTGACAGCAGCTGCTTGGGATCTGCATTGAAAGGACCTTCCTGCCTGAGATCTCTGATGAGAAGAGCATTTAAGTGCCTCCTTCTGACGGATGTGATCCTGAACACTTCCTCTGCGGACAACAGAGATCAACCCTGAGGACCTTCCTGCTCATGAAAGTACCAGGTCCACACAGAATGAGAAAGAACAAGCTCCACAGGTAGACCAGTCTCAGGGGGCCACTACCTTAAACTATTTTTAACTCCCTGTGCAAATGCACCTATATGGATATAACATTGCAGAGGTTTATTCGGGTTTCCAGCATATTTGGTAGAGTATTCAAGTACAGACTTGCTTTTAAGCAAATGTGTCAGTCCTGCCACAACTAAGAACATAGTCAAGTTTGCTGAACTGGATGTGAAAACTGATGTGTAATGCTGGGAGCTTCGAGGGGCCGCTCAGCACCACACAAAAACCAGTTTAGAAGGGACACAGCTCTCTCTTCCTGTTCTGCTCTAAGTAGGATGACTTTGTTTCAAATGACAGAGCGAGGTGTCAGCAGCCAATGCAGTGCTTCCTGAAAAGCAGCAGTAAAGCCAGCTCATCTCAAAGAATCAGACAAAGACCTTCAGGCGCCGTCCTAAGAAGGCAGGGATATAAAAAGACGGCAAAAAGGAAACAAAGAGCAGGAAGCAATTGGGAGAAGGAACATAACTAAAGGGTAAAGCTGTGGTGACATCCCAGGAAACATGCAAGAAATGTTTCTTTATGTCTGGCACCAGGGATAAACTACACCTGCCTGACAAACCATTTGCAAAGTGGCTGCCATCCAAGCCTTATACATGTTATTTATGGATCAGAAGGCCATAAAACCCGTTGTGCTCCAGTAAAGAGCATTCCCTGCAATACTCAAAAGGGCCAAGAGGCAATTTCTTCAGCTAATCCTCCCCGGGGAGTATATATTTCTCTGCAGAGGGAACAGTGACTAACTTGTAACAGTAGCTGGCATTGTGCTTGTAGTAGTGGCACAAGTTCCCATCATCAGGAGGGGTGGCGCAGAAGAAGATGGTTGGAGACAGGTTATAGCGGCCAGTTTTGCAGAACTCATCCATTTCTCTTGGGACGCCAGGCTCGATGGCCACTCGATCACCTGCCAGGGTGAAAGCAGACAGAAAGCTTCGGAAGAAGTTTGGCACATAGGTATGAGTACACTGAACAACCACAGAAGATAGCATGAAACCCTGGGACAAGAGAAGCACAAGGGAAGCTAACCGAGAAAGATCACACTGCACACACCAGGCAAGTTCCTTCACAACGGCCTCATCGCCAAGATCTTCACAGTTCCTTGAAAAGAGTCCGTGTTACAGGGGCACAGACACAGATCAGATGGAAGCTCAGTCACGTACAGACCTCACCCCATGCAATCACACTTTTTTTTTCAGAATCTGTTGTAACTGGAAGTGAAAATAATTAGGACAAAGCAGGGTGAGCTCTCCTGGCCACCACGCTGTCAGAGGGAAAGGGCTGCTCCTTGGGAAGGGAGCTCACGGTGCAGAAGCACACCCAGGAGTGAGGCAGGACTTATGGAGGAACAGAGACATCTTGATGCTACAATGGAGTAGCCCAGACTGCTGGAAGGACACACACTGCAGGACAAAAAGTAACTATTTAATTGCAATCACAAGGCAGGATGGGCTAAAGAAAACAACTGCGTGACCACAGGACAACTTGCAAGTACACAAGAGACACAAGAAAGCCCTTTTTATTTGGCAGGGGAAGCAAATCAAAACCAAATCTCACAGGAAAGCTCTCCACCAGCAGGCTTTCAGTCAGACACAGTGACAAGTAGGAGGACGGATCAAACTAAAGAGCTGTCCTGCTAACCCGCTACACCACCGTGATGTGGCCAACGGGGGATGTCTGGCGGTGAGAGGAGCAGGACAAGCACATATTGAACGTTCTCCCAGCCCCCCCATTACACTCAGCTGTGAGGTCTCCCAAGCTGCATGTGGATTCTCTGGTTTTAGTAACCCCCAACAACTACTCCTTCACCTCCCACAATGTAAACTTTTAGTGCCCACGTCAACTTTTGCCAAGGAGGCCTGCAGGTCTGCTACATCTCAGGTGAATGCTGCATCTGGCTCCCACTGTCCCTTGCTCTTGTACTGGAGGAACCAGAGAATCAGGCAACATTTGCACACTCTCTTCCTGTCCGCCATGAGTCTTCAGACGTGTGTCACACATCCTCGAGTTGTCTCTCCAGCTCCTGGCTCTATTTCCTTTTTGCCATTTGTCATAGAGATGCTGCTCCACATCTCACTATCTCCTTGTCCTCCTCTGAAACCTTTCCACTTCCTTTTATATTCCTTTGGAAAAGAGGAGACCAGAACTGCATGCAGAGTTCCAGATGTGCTATGATGACCTCTGATTGAGACCTCGTCCCTTTCCCAACACTGATTTGCATTTCTCACCATTACTGAGCCAACATTCCCATGCACTGTGTCAGAGACAAAGGTGTCACTCTTCAGCTGTGATGGCCAGCCCATCATCTTACATACGAAGCTTGTTTTGTTTCTCCTGCTGTGAAAACCACTTTATGTTTGTCTGCGTTGAATTTCACCTGCATCTTACTGCCCAGGCACCCTTAAGGTCTCTCTGTAACTCTTGCTAGCTCTCCTGTGTCCTCTCCAGCCTGACAAAGTTGCTGTCATCAGCAAACTTCGCAAAATTCACTGCTCAGCCCATTTTCTAGGGCATTCACAAGCACAGCGAACTGTAGAGGTCACACCATGGTGCCTGGCACAGTTGCTCCAGTGACCTCTCTCCACTGCAGGAGGCCATTTGTTCCTTCAAGAACACACACAGCGAAGAAACATTAACAGCAGGTTGTTGGCAAGAGCAACGTACATGGTTTCTGAAGCTTTATCTAAGCTTCTTCAAAAAGCAACTTGTATCAGCATACACTCTGCTCTGCATTAAAATAAAGTCAGACCAGCTCAAGATACCCCAGGATAAAGCATACCTAAGAAACACCATCAACTACAGTGGCCAAGCTGGGTGATTAGTAGCAGCACAGTGACACTCTTTGAAGGAGAAGGGCACACTGTGCAATTCACAGGTTAAGACAACAGATAAATTGTTATCAACATATTCTCAATAACTGATCCGCAGGAAAACAAATAAAAAGACAGTTTTGACTCCACTTACCTGGTTTCAGATGAGTCACTCCTGAACCTACTTTGACAACAGTCCCAGAAGCTTCGTGCCCCAGCACCGTGGGGTTCTTCACGACAAAATCCCCAATTCGACCATGCTGCCAGTAGTGAACATCAGACCCACAGATGCCAACTGAATGCATCCGCAGGAGGACCTCTGCCAAAGGAAGAAAGGTTCCCTGTAGAAAAACTTACCTTCTCAGGCACTGGGAGAGCAACACATGCTGTCCCTGTGCCCTACAACAGAGGCCAAGCCAGCACTGAAACATGCACACTTACTAACACTAAATAAATGTACCAGAACTGCACATGCATTAGGATGGATGGCATATTCATGAGACACCTGCTGAAAAACAAAACTATACAAGGATGTACTAATCAGGAAAGTTTAAAATATGGTAAGACTCCTGTCAACAAAAGCTAACACAATCTACGAGGGGCATCGCTATCACTGGAGCAAGAATAGAAGAACAAGTCAATTTAATTTTTCCTTCTCCCTAACCTACGATTTCAACCCGGGAGAGTTAGTGAATCAAATTCCCATCTGCCCATATGCTCAGTCTATTAATATTTAGCCCTGCAATAGCATCATCTGACACGTCCCAACAGCCGTTTAATATGAAATACACAAACTGATGAAACAGGAAGCAGAAAAAGTCAGATAAAGGGGTGTATCTGTCACTGCTCCAGCTCTTCTTTTCACATAGAAAGGCGGTATTGTGGGGTTTGGGATTATTTTATACTTTCTCAGAGATAATTTAACTCTTTATAAGAGCAAGGAGTGGCAAAAGTGAATGAGAGAAGAAAGAGATTAGTAAAGAAAGCAGCCAGAAGCAGTCATCTCTAGACCTACCATTGGCACCCGGTTCTGGGATCGGACGGTTTTCCTACAGACAAAAAGAAAAGAAAAACAAACCACTCAGTTGTTTGTGCACAGGCACGGGAATATCTCGTGGAAAGTCAGTGCAGGGTGGCTCAAGTAAATCCGTAAGTTTTTGGTGCTGTCTGCTCAATAAGATACCGCTGTGCAGCGAGGAGGGATACAAGTGTGTATAGTCCACACTTCCTCCCTAAGCTCACCTCATTTTGCTTGCACAGTGAAGTAATGTGGGCATCTGCTACATGTAAGCACACAGCCAGCTTGTAAATCCACTCTTCAAATTATTTTGCAGTAATTTCGCCTTCCCTGCCCAGCAAAGAGCCACATGCTAAACCTTCCTGCCCTGCAACGTCCTCAAGCTTCAGCTGAATCCTTCATCCCCCTGACCGCCAAAAAATTCACCTTCTGTAACCAGGAAGATTCAGAACTACCTATTTCTAGAAAGTGCTAATGTTTATATTATTACTGTAAATAATAGGAAGTATTTTTACTGCATAATAATAACTCAATGTATAAATCAATCATAAATGTTACTGTAAAACATGTCCTTGTAATGGGCATGACACCTCTTTATGGGTTGAACAACAAAACCAGAATTACAAAAACGTTCACTGGGCACCAAGTCACCCTTCCACCCAAGAGGTCTGTAGGCCTCTGCTTTCTCTGAACTCCCTCCGCTGCCTCAACAGACAAAGGAATCATTGCGTTGGGTTTTACAACATCAGGACAGTGCAATACCCACCTCTAGGATCCTGTCCCTAAGAAAGTCCCCACCAAAGCAGTTCGTGCTAACAAGGAACTCTTCATAACCCGTTTGCTGCTCACGTTTTTATGCATCTCAGGCCCCTTTACCTACAGCCCAAAACTGGGCACAAGACCTTTGAGCAGACCTCCTATTCACACAGCTCATCTTCAAAAATTTGGTACATATACACGAGTGAGCTCATGGTTGGTTATTTCTCCTTGCTAATAGCATCTTCAGTATCTAGCTAGCAAGAAAACTGATCTCTGGGTTTGAGAGATGAACAATTGCTTTATAGCAGCCCTACACATACCAGCTGCACCAGTTAAAAGCTGCTACACAGCAAGGAACACGAGATTTCCTGCTGCTCTACTGCAGAGAAAGCGGGCGAGCTCTGCCTGCTTTTGGGAGCGCTGTTTTGCGTTTTAGCCAATACATTCTCAAACTCAGCAGTATTCCTCAACCCATACTTCACCAATCTAAACATCACAAAAGGAGAAATTCTGTAATCAGGTTCTCAAAGCGCTGCTCTGTTAAAAAAAAAGATGCTGTAAGTGGGCAGGATGGCCCAAACCGTCTCGGAGTCAAAATCAAAGTACACCTTAACCGACTGAAATTTTCTATGCTCAGAACGGTATCTGCACCTTTTTCGACATGGGGTGTTCGTTTTATCTCACTAAGGACACAGCCCAGAGCAACACTTTTTAAAAGAGGTTCATCTAGATGTAGCCTTTTATATAGAAAATATCCAGTAAGTGTGCAGTCTGGTAACACATCAGGGGTACAAACCCCCTAGGCTATCTCAAAGGGACTAAACAAAGCAAGCAAACTTCTAACTCAAAATGTGTGTGTGGCACATCTCAGCCCAGGAAAAAACCCCCCTTTTTTTTTTTTTTTTTCAAAAACAGCTGTGCCGAAAACCAGACATTTTGGTGGAAAGTGAATCCTCAAGCCTGATTTGTAGAAAACAGGGAGTGACCAAACTGGAAGACCCCAAAGCATTTCAGGACATGTGTTCTGCTTACTGCCCGCTGTCCACTGAGAAGTTCAGAGACAGCAACTGGTACAACTGAGGATGTGAAGGAAATGCAGCAAGCTTTCTGTGAAAGGAGATGTATAAAGAGAGGATATGGCACATGCATAAAACCCAAGAAATCCTCAAGTGGCAGTAAACGTGAGCCTCTGGCAACTCCCTATGCTCAAGAGGAGAGTCAAAAAAAATGAAGCCACAGCACTTTCACATAACGCAGGCAGCTACTGAAGTTGCAGTGACTCTCCCCATGAGCAACACGTCCTCCAGAATCAAGAAGGGTGTGGGAATTACGGGGAAGACTATCTCACCTAACTTTAGGGATCAATAACACAGATAACAAGTTCAGAGTTCACTGCCTAGACTCCTTACGTGAGCAGTGGGGCAATGCAACGAGAGCCATTCACATTGTGGCAAAGAAACTTCAGAGAAACCTGATGGGGTAGGTTCACACCCCAAGGGGCTACCAATGAGGCCTGGGGAGCACTGACCACCTCAGATGCCTCAAGCAGTACAAATACCCCAAGGAAAACTCAACCCATCTGGGTGTAAGCCAGTTTAGAGACCAGGAACATATATGGGATAGAGCCAGCAACTGCCCTCACAAGTCTCATACACCCTTCTAAATCACAGGGTTTTAGAAACATGTTCTTGAACTAGAGGGACCACCTCAATTCTCACGAACTGTGCCGATGCCTTTTATTTCTAGTAGAAGTCAGGCTACACGTGAAATTGCTCTAGTGAAGTTGCAGCTCTGTCAAAGGTGGCTGGGAGCCACACTGGAATTACCCACTTAGCAGCTTGAGCTGTGCAGGAATGGTAAAAAATCAACTGCTTCCCTGATAATGATCTCCAAATGAGCTGCTGCAGGTATCCAAAGTCCGCGTGCTCCTGAGAGCCTTCCTGCCAGAACTGTTTGTACGGAAAACTACCTGTCGATGTTTGTCCACATAAATCTTCCTTCCCCAATCTGGCACTTGCCAAACTGGCAAACACAAATCTCTGGCAGCACCACAACGATTCAGCACCCAAGGACATCCAAGCGTTCACAGAATCGGTTCTAAGCACTGACCAAAAATAAAGGCTCCCCTCTCCAGAAGGGTACTCAGCCATGAGCATAGGTGTGATCCGTGGGGATGCTACCTTTGAACCCTCCTTCCTGCTTCTCACTGTGGCTCTCATGTGCCCGACCAATTAACCCTCTATTTCTGCCTTCTGGGAATGCCTTTTTCATGGGACTGTCTATCGAACAGCACCTGCTCCCCATTTCTCCGCTGCCTGTCCCATCCTTCCCTCCATGCCACCCAGAGGGGGGCTCAGGCAAGGGCCTCAGGGCAGCCCGGTGCTCTGGGTCCCGTCGCCCCGCTTGCTCCGCTGGTCAGCCCCCTGAGCATGGGGA